CTCTATCTAGTCTTTATGTCATGGAGACATTTATTTTCGGTCAACCTGTTTCATGTCTTGCCGCCTTGCAGGATACGTTTTTTTAGGCAAAGGCGATGTTAAAGGAGATGTTAACTCTAATCAAACACACACACCCTGTCTTTGGGCTCCTTTGATTGAGTAAAGGCTAGAGAGAGTTTCAATTTTCATTACCGACTTCCCATAAGTTCTCACATGTAAGGCATTGATACCTTAATAAATTCTCACATCCAAGGCATCGTTTGCTGATGGTACTACCATTTATTCTTGTCTTGATAAGAAGCCAAAACTCTTTGATTGCTTCGAATTTGAACTTAAAAGAATTTGAGCTTGACTTAAAAAGTCTCAAATGCACCAAAAATCTCACTTTTACTACAGCATAGGGCTCTCAGTGGCTGGTGAACTTTTAACTCAGATGAACTCAGTTTTTTTCAGCTAATTGTTATTGCAACAATCTAGATCTTCCTATATTTATAAACGGTAATGTACTGGATGAGTCATCTACCATTTGTCTTCTAGGATTACCTCTTACTTCCAATCTTTCTTGGAAAACAAATACATTGAAAAATTAGCATCTGCTAAGGTTGCGTCTCTTTATCGTGCTCGCCGTTTTCTTTCTCTGGTTTCTATTGTTTATCTCTATAAATCTCAAATTCATTATTGTACGTATTACTGTTGCAATATTTGGAGCAGGTCTTTGAATGATGTCCTTTCTCATTTAGATAAGGTGCAAAAACGCATTGTAAACATAGTTGGGCCTGCTCTTGCAGCCAACCTTTAACGATTATCCTATTGCCATAACGTTTCTTTCTTTTTCCCTTTCTATAAATACTAAAATGGGCGCTCTGCTTAGATCTAAAGACGCTCGCCCTTTAGAGCTAGCGTCTTTAAAGCTAGCTCTAAAATTAGAACTTTATTAAGAAAACGCTCTAAAGACGCTCTTTAGCTCTATAGAGCTAAAGAGCGTCTTTTGTGCCATCTACTAAAATTTATTCTCGTGTAACTCGTCATTCAAATTAGACTCATCTTTTTACTGTGACTGTTCCTAAGTACTTTAAAAATTCTTATTTGACTAGGTTTTTTCCTTGGACATCAGTTTTTTGAAATTCGCTCCCTTCATCTTGTTATCCTAATTCATATAGTTTGCAATTTATCAAGTTGTCTGTTTATCGTTATCTTGCTTATAAACTTTATATTTTCTCCTCCAGTAACTTCCAAATTTAAAAGTAGTTGCTTGCAGCCTTGTTTAAAGGGAAAATATTAAAAATATATTTATATATATATATATATATATATATATATATATATATATATATATATATATATATATATATATATATATATATATATATATATATATATATATATATATATATATATATATATAGTTAAAAAGATATAATATTAATAAATACTAATAGTCACAAAAAGTTATAAAAAAATATATTTAAATACAAATTTCCAATTAAATATATGATATTATATTCAACATATAATATATAAAGATTACATATATTATTCAAAAATACAAACTGTTAAATAATCAGATATAATGCTAAAAAAAATTTTTTTGTAAACAAAAATAAAAATTAATCCGTAAGATTTACAACGTAAGTTTTTGTTTGAAACTGAAATGAATTTAAAGATTTTGCCATATTTAAATTTAAGAGTTCCATAGCTTGGGACCTCTATAAGTTATACTATATTCTGTGTATTTGTTTACTTTTTTAGGTAATTTATATGTGTTACTTTGATTTATTCTTAAGAAATACTTCTCATTTAAATTTTTATTAAATTTACTTATGAAGATTTCAGGATTTCATTTTTTTGTTGTATATAATTCTACCAGCATGTTTTTGTAAGGAAAGAATTTTTTTAAGTTTTGTTGGTGGACAACTTGCCCACGTAATATTTGCATAAGTAATGTAACAATGAATTAAGCTGAAGTTAATGACCCTTTGATCTGAAGTTGATGGCCCTTTTTTCTTAACTGGTTGATCTCTAAGCTGCTTAACTACTGAAAAGTAATCTTGCATTAAAATAATGTGAAATAACTTCTGCACGGAGTTGATCTTTAAAATCTGCAGGAGATTTCACTGTTGTGAGGTCCATTTTTTCTTAAAATATCTTAAGGCTGCCTTTCTCTAATAAAACATTGTTATGTCATAAGTATGATTACAACACAACTATTGTGTTGATAGTAGTACAACATTATACCTAATTGAAAAGTATTTTTGCTAACATATAAATCAATTTCCTTCCCACCATGGAATGGCCGCTTGATCGTACTTAACCATGTAGGAAAAAATTTTTCGTACCTGTTTTAATTATGGTAGTAAAAAAAGTTTTAAGATAGGTTGTCCTGAGTAAGTTCAAACTATTTAAGGAAGCCAAAAGAAGGCATTAAAATAAGCTCTCCTAGAGTAATCCTACGTGGAACCCAAAGAGTTGTTAATTTTTGATTTTTCTAAGTAAAAATTTTCCTTTTTTCAAAAATAAACTAAAAAAGTTGCTTTGTTATATGAAAATATTTTCGAGTTTTTTGAACTCGATCCTTATTGTAATCCGTATTGCGTTATTCTTTAATGTGTTAAATATTTAGCTTTATATATATCTTTTATATTGATAAACAGTATTTTGTACTTGGATATAAAATTTAAAAACTCTAAATATTTCAATATTTGAAGTTTTAAAATTTTATTGCTAAAAGGTATTATTTTGTTAAAGGTATTATTGTTAACAAGGGTGGATCCGTAGAAGGGGGGAAGATGGCAATAGGGGCAAAAAACTCCTTTCCCCTTAGACATTATAATATTAAAAAAGATTTTTCGATATAAATTTTCAAAAATAATTATATATTTAACACAGCATGTAGTTTGATAAAGACAGTCAATTAGGTAGACAAAAAAGTGGAAACTTTAAAATGTGAAATTGTAATAAAATTGTGTAATGCAAACTTTAAATAGATTGGGGTATCATCATAATTTCATTTTATTAAACTTAAATTTTTTTTTACCAAAAAAGAACAGAAATTATCATCTTTTTAAACTTTCAAACAATGTCAACAACTTTAGAATATCAAAAAAAAAAAAAAAAACTCTCAAACTTTTAGATATAAATATATATTGAATTATTGTTTATGTTTTTTATTTGTTTTTCTTTAGTGATTGCTTTGATAACAACGGGTTAAAAGAAAAGTAAATTGAATGCTTAATTAAGCCACCATCTTTGCTCACCGGAAAATATTTTTCCTGTTTTAAGGGTTTGTATAGACTATTTACGGACGTCTGCGTCCGCTTAATTATAGAAAAATGAATTATTGATAATTTCAAAACAAAATGAATTGTTAATAAGTCAATGCTCACAGCTAGCTGACATTTAATTAAAATTAACGTTAATCCATTTGTCATTGTTGATCACAGATAATTTTTGATATTTATTCTATTAAAACTACTCTCATCATAAGCAGATGAGAAAGGAAGAGTAAAGTCAATTTTGTAGAGTATACCAAGTTAAGAAAACATGATGTCATTAATTTCTCTATTAAGAATAGATGTGTGTCTTTCATTTTTAGTTTAGTCGTTATTGCTGGAGATATTGATGCATTTGAAAGTAGGACCGGCGCGAGTAGATTTTAAGTGAGGAGGGAGTGCCATACGGCTTTTTACCAACAACATTTTTAACACATAAAAACAAGTCTAATTTTTAACACATAAAAACAAGTCTAAATTGCTCCCCAATGTTGAAATCAGTAAATTTATAACTTCTTTATTTTTCATTTATTTAAAGAAAAAAGTTGTTTACCATTTTCATTGCAGTTTTATGAGCATCTGTCACTGTACAGTCACATTAGTTTTTATACACCAAACTATGTTAAAAATCCATTGACTGTGTACATTATGATTATATATAATCATAATCTACACAGCTATTGTTCTCTAAAATATGTTTCTCATTACAAAATTGTGCGGTTATTGTAAACGGAAATAGAAAACTAGGTATAAAAAAACAATCGTTTACTTACCTGTAAACGATAGGCTGTAAACACATCTTAAAGCACTTTAATAATCAAAAATATATATAATACCTGCTTTACAAATTTGCTCCGTTTTGTTTTCTGACAAAAATGAAAACTTTTATACAGAAAACAAAACGGAGACCAGAAAAAAAAAAAAAAGTTTTGTTTAAAGAAAATATATTTTATATTTAGGAGATATTTTCCGTCTCCATTTTGTTTGCCATAAATGTGTGCAAATGAGAAACTTATACTTTAGGGACGCTTGTTTACCGGCTAAGGAAGCGCAGGGGGTGGGGAAGCAGCTCCTCCCCCCTCCACGCCCTATACTGAATTATCTACTGTTAAAATACCATACTTTGCTTAAATCCTGCCCTACATATACCAACATTAAATAATGTTTATATTTAATTTTTTTCGAGCGGGTCAGGAGAGTTTTAAATAAGTTGCGTCTGTGTTTTCAATTTTTTTATAGAGGACATAATATTCAATATTCTACATTACATTCAATATTGCAGACTTCGCATTAAATAGAGAGCATCAATATGATCGACCCAGGCCTTTTTTGACATGATACTGATGATGGGCCATGCTTGGTTTATGAATGGAATCAACAGTAAGGAGAACTTCTTAGTTAAATACTATTTTATGATGCTCTGTGAGAAGGCTGTAAGCACATCTTGAAGCACTTTAATAATAAAAATACAATAAAAAATATAAATTAATTTTAGTATCAGCACATTAAAAGGTATATACACAAAGCATAAAGTATAAACACAAAACTTTAAAAAAAATAAAAATAAAAAAAATAACGTAAATAATTCACAAAAAAACTGCAAATAATAATTACACTTTTAAAACAATTATATTGTTACAAATTACTTAACATTAATATGGTGTTTAAGGGTTGTTCAAAAAAAAGTTTAAAATAAAACGAACTTTACATCTTATAATTTAACATTTATATTTATTAAAGAAATTTACTATTATTTTAAAAAGGGTTTTTAATCTATTAAATGTTTTCTTTAACAAAAATATTACAAAAGTAGGGAAATGGCTGTCAATGAACAGGACAATTAGTCACTATACAATTCTTCGCACTTAAAAACATTACAATGAAAATAGTTTTTCTTTGGCATACATTTGAGTCATTATATTTACCGCTGGTATTTTTTTTCCTAAACTCCTTTCACGCAACTGAGGCCATGTGTTAAAAATTGAAAACCCTTTTAAATGTTTTCAATTGGTATAAGCTCAAATGAGAGTATGAGCTCAAATATATTAATACGTATAAATAGAATATATTAATACGTATAAGTAAAATGTATTAATACGTATAACAAAAATCTGCTTATAACTGTTGTTAACTGAGGTTACAATTAAGTATCTTTGAATTTGTTAAGTAAGTAATAGTTTATATAAAAAATTAACAACTTGTTGCTTTTTTGAATTTCAACAATAATATTTATTTGTTCCATGTTCGAAATTTAATATTATTAACTATTCATTCCACTAAAGAGTATTAAAATTTTGTTTCATTAAATTTTAGTATGGCCGCACTCACTATGTTTTCATGAATTTATTTTGTATTTTGTACAGAATTTTGAGTGTTTGAGTCTTTATTGTTTCGCTGACGTCATGTCAATAAAAAAATCTTTTAAATATGGAAAATATGCTTTTCATAAAGTCGTATAAGTATTTGTAAATGTATATCACTTAGTTTTTTAAAAAGTCATATAAGTATTTGTAAATGTATATCACTTAGTTTTTTAAAAAATAAGCTGCGTTCTGTAAGTAAAATAATATTTTGACTTCCACTTAAGTGACTGCCATTTCCCCATCTTTGACGCAACACTAAACGCATATCTTATCATCAATAAAGTTAACAACAATTAATGGTTTTCCTAGATCTGTTTGTTCGTTCTTTTGGTAACCTTCTTCGATTAAACAACGAGCATCAAAACTACCATCGTATTTGAAAGATAGATTGCTTGAGGCTTTAGATGGATGGTTAGGCTCGGCACTTGTCGTACATTTGTGATAAATTTTATCAATGTTTTTTGTTGGTTTTGTTTCTTTACCAAAAATATGCAAATCCTTTAGAAAATAAATGTATTAAAGTTAAAATAAATAAATCTTAAATTCAGTTAATCGTTTTTAGAAAATAATACAATTTAAAAAACAAATTGTCTGAGCTTTAAAAACAAACTAATTTTCTGGAATAAGAGTTATGAATATCTTTCAAGTTTTTTAATAAATTAATTGGTTTTCAAAAGTTAATGCCACTTAAAGTTTACATTATTTCTTGGGACAACGAAAATAAGAAAGCGTCTAACTAGGAATTTTACGTCTTTTTCCTTACAGATGACGCATATGCCCAATATGCCCAGAGCTAACTTTGAACCCTGGATCTTTCTAACTACTTTGCCATGGCTGCTATTTTAGTAAGTGATGCCTAATTTTAGGAAGTGAGTTAGTGCTTTTGAACTAAATAAGTTTTTAGTGCTTTTGAACTAAATAAGTTAATAATAATGAGTTAATAAATATTAATAATTATTTAACAATGTCATTTGATTAGTATGTATTATTACCAGCCATGTGCTTATTTGACAATGTAAAGTAAGACTCATCGTCAATAATAAATTCGTCATTCAATTGATCAAACTGATCATATATCGATTCAATTCATCAAACTGATCATATGTCAATTCAATTCATCAAACTGATCATATATCAATTCAATTCTTCAAATTGATCATATATCAATTCAATTCATCAAACTGATCATATATCAATTCAATTCATTAAACTAATCATACATCAATTCAGCTCATCAAACTGATCATATATCAATTTAATTCATCAAACTGATCATATATCAATTCAGTTCATCAAACTGATCAAATGAATTGATATATGATCAGTTTGTCATATATCAATTATTGCAGTCATCATATATCTATAAATTGCAGCTTTTGAGAAGCCTTCTATCTTGAAATGGAAAAAAAATGTTTTTCATCATAATGTTTTTTTCGTTAAAAATTATTCACACAATTATTTAGGGCATTTTGATTTGGCATTTTAAGTTATTATTTTAACACAAAATAATCTAACAGTTTGTATACAAGTTGATAGAGGAAAATAATCAAACAGTTTGTTAGTTAATAGAGGAAAGAGCTTTAATTTGATACAAAATACTAAATATTTTATTAAACTTTCTAATTAATTATCGCTAATAAAAACTAGTCTCAAATTTTATGGCACAGGTGCTAGATTATATATAAAAAATAATAATAACAACTCGTTTTTCCTTTTTTTGGAGTCAAGTTATAGTTTGGTTATTATCAAATTTTCAAAAAAAATTTCAAGTTTTAAAACTTTATATCAAATTATTATTTTATTCTTGTCTCCTTTAGCTTACAAAAATCTTAAATTCATTTTACGTGCCACCTGGCATTATATGACGCTTAAGTAACTTATCAAGACATCAAACTGAAAACTGTTGATAAACTTAAAATTTTGTTCAATTTTCAAAAATGCTTCTTGCAATATAAAATATGCATTACCATTAATGATGAATACGCTTTTGAGAGGTGGTTCATTCTTTCTCTTGCCATGTTTGCAATTGATGTATCAATATCATTGGGTTTTTTTTCGACAATATGTTCATTTTTTATTCTCTGTTAAAAACAAAGTAATATCATACACAGTGGACGCAAGACCTGTTTAATACGATTTAAAACATACTAACTTTTTATACGTATGATTAAAAAAAGATATGTGATAAAAAAAAAAAAATGCGATAAAAGATAAAATGCGATTAAGAAATAATAAGCGATAAAAAAAATAATATGCGATAAAAAAAAGTAAGATCAAAATGTAATGTGGTAAAAAATAAATATAAAATAAACATGAAAAAAATTATGCAAAAAAAGATTAAATCATATAAAAAAAATTTCATGTAGCCGTTTAAAAATCTTTTTCCTATGTAAAAAGAATAAAATCTTTTAATATAAATAACCCCCAAAAAATTATTCTTACGAGATCCGCAATCCTATTGTCTGATCTTTGATTACCCATATAAATTTTACTGAAACTGTTAACAATGACTGGGACCGGTAATGCAATTACAAGAACACCGCAAAGAGAACACACGCTTCCAACAAGTTTTCCCAATACCGTTTTTGGTACCATATCACCATAGCTATGTAAAACATGTTTCATAAACTGATAATATACATGAATATTTAAGTTTAAAATTTTAAATAAGTGAATATATTTACCCTAATGTTGTCATAGTTACAACAGTATACCAAAAGCCTGCTGGAATGCTTGTGAAATGAGTGTGATGTTCATCTTTTTCAATGTAGTAAATTATTGTAGAAAATATAACCACTGCTAAAGATAAAGAAAACAATAAGAAACCTAACTCTGATGCACAGCTCAATAAAGTGCAACCTAAAATTCGTAAACCTTTTGAATGCCTTGAAAATTTAAAAATCCTAAATACTCTAAAAACCCTGAGACTTATAAATGCTCCGCCAAAAACAGTTTTCGTTATGAATATACCAATAAAATAAGGTAAAACAGCTGCTATGTCGATTATACTAGCTACACTTCTTGCATGTAATAACCTGTTAGGAGCTCCATATAACCGAGCAAAATACTCTGCGGTGAATACGGCAACACAACACGTCTCTATCACGAAAAAAAGGTCTTTATATTTCTTCCCACAATTTAAACCTTTTTCACACTCAACTGTTTCAAATACTGTAGAAAAAACGCTTAATGTAATAAATACTCCAGTAATGTAATAAAATAGTTTTCCTATCCATGTCAGTTGTGGGTTTTCTAAATATTTCCATATTCTTTCTCTAAAAGTTATTTGTTTGTTAGAATTTTTTATTTTCATATCAACGTTTTTATCGAGAACATTTTTTTGCATTAATTTCATATCATTTTTCTTCCTCCAATACGAGTTGCAACAGCATTCCGCTATGTTGCTACTTTTAATACCAAAAAACTCAAGCTCTTTTTCAAAATATTCTGCACATTCTTTTTTTGGACAGTGCAACTTACCTGTGCGGTAGTAATTTAATATAAACCTAAACAAATCTGGATCGCAATCAAAATAATATTCCTGATTTTTTTCGTCGTAAAAATACTTCTTTTCGCTGCCTCCAAGTAAGGTCTGCTTATGGTTAAAGAGCGTGTAATCGTAAGTTTCATAGCGGCGACCAGACACGTTAATAACAACTTTTTTCAAAGGAGGAACAACGGTTGGCAAACCATCCAACTTGTTGTGTGACAACGGTACCCAACTAATTGCTGCTGTGCGCGCGCACATTAACCATGCACCAATATCTTCCGCTGACATATCTAAACAATTTTTTTTTCTGAAAAATTGTTTTAATGCCAGAAAATCTTAAGCGATAAAATCAACAACAAAATGTTTCAGTAAGAAAAGTGATAGTGGAGAACATAAATTTTGCTTTCTCTTCATTTATAAATAATTTACATTAAAATTTTTCGTTTATTAATTTTAGCAATGAAATTTTCAAAAATCGTGTTAAATATTAATGGTGAAAAAAAAAGGTTGTTCATGTATTTTAGTTAAAAATGAATGTTTATTATTCTTGTCAGAAAACAAAAGTTTGAATTATTCTAAATTGATGGTAATCAATCGCACCATAATTTTTGGGTTTAACCACTTTGAAAATGCAAAAACATTATGGATTTTTAGTATAGCTAATTTAAAATCATTACATTTCAAACAAAATTTATAACGTTTTTAAGGTGAAAAATGAAGCAAATTAAAATGCTTTAATTAAATTACAAATAAAAACTATAAAAATTCCGCTTTAAAAATTGAACTTGTTGAAAACTTGAAAACGAAAGCAAATGTTTTATACTTGTTAAGTTCAATTTTTATTTATAAACCTCTATTTTAATCATCATAAGGTACGTCTAATTTAATATAAGATAAATTTAGAGAGGTGCACTGCAACAGGCATTACAATAATTGTTATTAAAAAAATTGAAAAAAGAATTTTTTATAGTGCTGAATTTTTTTAAATCTTTGCAAATGAAATGAAAATATACAATATTTTAAACACCAATATTTGAACATTGCTCCAGAGGAAGTCCTCAATGTTTTGATTAATTAAAACTACTTATTTTAGTTTGGATTTATAAAATTTTATGTTTCCATTTTGATGTCGTTTCCCTGTTTCCAAGCATTTTGATGTCGTTTCTGATTACTATACTTCATAATTGGGGGCCTCTAGCTGCGATAGAAATCTTTGTGGCTTCAAAATAAATTTTAGCTTGAATATAATTATTGTTTGGATGTCTAGATATTTGTGCTTATCTTTTTTGAATAGCATTAAAAATCTACACCGATATTTCGGTTTTGGTACTTTTTATAAATTTGATCAGAATCAAAATATCGAATAAAAAAACATACCGAAAACTAAAGATACAATTTCGTATGATTTTAAGTTTTTATTTAATTTTGAAAAATAATAATTTTTGAAAATTTCCGCAAAATTATTAGACCATTTATAATTGAAATTTTAAGCTCAACGTTCACAAATTACTTAACTTTTTTGGTTGTAAATAGCGCGTATCTGTCTGCTTCTAAAAATATCAAAACCGCAATATGTATGTATAAAGATGACTTTTTAGTAGAATAAAAATAGGAAAATAAAAAACGAAAAATTAGCTGCCAAAGTAATATTATTAAAATGGTTTAATATTAAACATAAATCAATTATATAAGTATAGTAAAAATATTATTTTAAGAAAAGTTATCAGAAATATAATAGCAAGATAATAGTGAAAACATATATATATATATATATATATATATATATATATATATATATATATATATATATATATATATATATATATATATATATATATATATATATATATATATATATATATATATATATATATATATATATATATATATATATATATATATATATATATATATATATATACAGTATTGGACAAAACATTTGTAACCAACATCGAACAATGCTACAAAGTGTTCCTAGTTTTACATGTCTTAAAAACGAAACGAACTATACTACCACAACAAAATAGTTTAGGAGTCTGAATTCATAGCATGCCATGACATGAGCAATCAGTTGACAGGTGACAGCACACAGGCAGAATTTTGTTGACAAGTGCCATTTTGCAGCACACAAAACAAGTACAACTTTTTTGGTTTGTTTCATTTTCTTAAGCCTGGTCCTTGTCAACATCATGGAAGTTTTTTAATAATTAAAGGAAGTATCCAGAAGCTTCCAGAAGTTTCCAGAAGAAGCATCTGAAAGCATCTAAAAGCATCCAGAAGTATCCAGAAACATTCAGAAGCATCCAGACGCATCCAAAAGCTTCCAGAAGCATTGAAAAGAACTATCAAGAACCTTCCAGAACAAGTTCACACAGGTTCATTTTACTATATAAGAGAAATGTAAACCGACATGTAATTCAGTCAGTATATGGAAGTCAATCAGTCAGTATTATCAAAACAGTTTATCGAAGTGAGTTATATCAGTTTATCGAAAAACATCAATACAAGAAGTGAAATACAACAAGTGTTTTATTACATCAACACAGTCCACATCCAACCAAGACGTTGTGTTCCACAGAGCATTATTATATCATTACAAGGTAAATAAAACATGGTAAGCCTTGAGAAGCGTGATTATTTATTTTTATTATTTTTATGACTTCAAGTGCAAAAATGGCTCCCGACAGTCTTGGATTGGAACTAAGAAAGAAAATTATTGTCGATTACGTAAGTGGAATGTCACAAAAAAGAACTTGTGATAGATATCGCGTGAAAAAAAGAACAGTATCAAAAGCATGTTCCAAGTATCGTTCTACGGGGAAGTTGGCAGCAGATAACAAAGGTGGAAGACCACGTTCCACCACTTTTAGAGAGGATTCTATGATTATCAGATCCGTCAAGAAGGATCCGTGGATATCATTAGTCGTGATACAAAAGCAATTAAAGCTGCCTGTATCGGACCGAACAATCAGACGACGTGTTGAAGCTAGATTGTTTTCTCAACGCCCTGCAAAGAAACCGCTGATTTCACTAAAGAACCAGAAGAAAAAACTCCTGTTTGCTACATCTCATGTTGACTGGAATGTGCAGAAATGGCGAACTGTCCTGTTCAGTGATCGAAGTTCAACATCATTGGGAGCGATGGCATTTGCCGTGTACGTCGACCGGCCGGAAAACGCCTCTATTTACGTTACTGCCATAAGACCGTGAAGCATGGTGGAGGCAATGTAATGGTCTGGGGGTGTTTATCTGCTAACGGTCAATAATATAAATATCGAAAAAATTATGAGAAGACATAAGCATAAACTAGAACGCTGGCTAGAAAAAAATGTGAAGAGTGAAATAACTTTTTACAAATAGAGTTTTTGCCTAATAGAATACACTTTCACAATAAGTAGTGAAAACTTCATCATTAAATACTTTTAAAGGCAGATTAAAAAAAGTAACTTTTGAAAAAACATCTTCGCCTGCAACGTCTGTGTCCTCAATTTAAAATTGTAACAATATTAATAAGAGTAGTACTACTAATAAAAGTAATAATAGAAAAAATAATAATAATTTCAGAGTCGGTTTTACCATAAAAAACCTTACCTCAAAATAGCTTAAATTAGACGACTCAGAATTTTTTTTTTTATTTGAATAAATTTTATCAAAAAAAAAATTTAATTTGTGTTAGCTTGTTTGCACAAATAAAAAAAATCAATTTATAGAGAAACTCTATGGTTTTTTAAAATAAATGCATTTAGTAGCTATGACAACATTTGGTTTTTAAAATTTTAGTTCTTTACAGCATCTTAAAGTTTAATAATATACTTATTTAACAAAAAACTACTTTATGAATTGTTGTTGAATTAGGTAAAAAATTAAAAAAAAAATTTAACGGATATTAAATTTTTTTGGATGTCATTCATACTTGTATGATAATTTTACCAAACTCTTTAAAAAAAATAAAACTTAATTTTGTATGAGAAATAAAAGTTTTCAAAATTTTTTTATTTAAATAACAAATATAAAATTATTTAGCTTCAACAGCTTAAAATAAGTATGTGTAAATATAGTTTACTTGTTTAATTTGCTATTCAAATCATTACATTGTGATTATTATATTAATTAATTATTAGTATTATCATTATTAATAACATGTTTTAGTTGTATTTTTAGTAAACCTCGTATCTGTAATATTTGTGACTATAGTTCTATTGTTTTTAATTGTAGCACTTATTGATCTGTAACATTTGCAAATGTAGTACTTATGTATATGCAATATTTCTAATTGTAGTATATATTGTTTCCTCAATATTTATAACTGTAATATACAATGTACCACTAATATTTGTAACTATAGTATTTATTGTATCTGTAATGTTTGTAATATTAAATCTGTAACGTTTTTAACTCTAGTATATATTGCACCTGTAGTATTTGTAACTGTAAAATTTAATGTATCTGTAATTATTGTAACTGTTATATTTATTGTACCTGTAGCGTTTGTAACTGTAGTATTTAATGTATCTGCAATGCTTGTTACTGTATTATTTATTGTATCTGTAATATTTGCAAATGTAGTTCTTATGGTATCTGCAATATTTGTAATATGTAACATATGAAGTTGTAGTTATATAGTTTCTGAAATATTTGTAAGTTACAAAAATTTCTGAAACACTTTAACTACAGTTTCAAATATTACATATACTAGAGTGCCAAATATTACAGATACAATAAGTACTACATTTACAAATATTACAAATACAATAAATTGTAATATACAGATACAACAAATTGTAAATATCCTATTCAATGTATCTGTAATCTTTCTAAATTATAATATATTATATTCATTGTATAATGCATCAGTAATGTTTGTAACTGCAGTATTTATGTCTCTATAATGTTTATTAGTGTAGTACTTATTGAATCTGTAGTCTTTGTAACTGTAGTATTTATTGAATCTGTAATATTTGTAAATACAGTATTTAATTTATCATATATGTTTGTGACTGCAGTATTTATTGCACCTGCAATGTTTGTAAATGAAGTATTTATTGATTCTATAACGTTTGTAAGTTTAGTATTTATTGTATCTGTAATATTTGCTACTGATGTATTTATTGCGTCTGTAACATTTGTAACTGTTGCGTATCTATTGTACTTGAAATATTTTATAACCGTAGTATTTATTGTATCAGTAATATTTGTAACTGTAGTACAAATGGTTTCCGTAATATTTATAACTGCAGTATTTAATGTATCTGTAATGTTTATTACTGTAGTGCTTATTGTATCTGTAATAGTTATAACTTTAGTATTTAATGTATTTATAGTTGTACTATTTATTTTATCTGTAACTGCAGTCACATTATCATTACTAATTTGTCGAAAAAGTTTAAAGAAACTTAAATGAGCAATACATTTGAAATAAAATTTTAACTTGTATTTTTATTTTGACTGTTTCTTTTTATAAAATAAGCGATTACTTCAATCTTGCGTAGATGCTTTCGAAAAAACCTGTTAATATAGCAGTTTGTAAACGCATTTAATATTGCTGAAAGCTTAGCAAACAATGCGCAAATAGTATAAATCAGACTTGGTATTTTAATATTGAAAATTGAAAGTAAGGTTGCCCCTGCATATGGTGTCCAAACTACAAAGTAAGCAATAGCCGACCATAAAAATAACTTAATGTAAACTTTTTCTAGTAATTCTCTTTGTTTAACTGGTTGATCTCGTTTAAATATGCTTTGGTTGTCAACTGTTTTTTTTGTTAAACTGTAGGCAAAAATTAGCATAATTACAGGTAAAATGTAGCAAAATAAAAAGGCAAAAAATAAATATGACGATGAATCTGGTTGCGTCAAGTTCCAGTCTAGGGAGCATCGTTTGTTATCCAAATCTTCCTCATATTTTGACCATCCAAGTAAAGGAAAGGACGCCCACAATAATCCATATGTATAACAAAAGCACAATAAAATTGTTCTGAACTTCTTTGTTTTACAATATTTAATGTAAAAAAAAGGGCATTTTAGTGCAACCATTCTCATTACTGATATGATAACAATCTGCAAACTATTAGAAACTGTTATGAAAAATGTTAAGAATGCAGCTCCAATGCAAACACTGCTCTTCTTTGTCAAAATTACTTTATGTAGTACAAGCAGTTCCGAAACAAGTCCAATCAAAACATGAATTATATCTGATATAGATATACTGAGAATAAATAGATTTGGCAATTCAATAACTTTAAATTCGTTTCTTATAATGTAGCATATGATAGTATTTAGTGATGTCGATAAAGTAATTATTGCGATGACAAAAAATGTATACATAATAGATAAAATTTCCATTTTTTTATATTTGGTTATATATCTATATATCAATATTTCTTTCTTATATGAATATATATATATATATATATATATATATATATATATATATATATATATATATATATATATATATATATGTTTATATATATATATATACATATATGTTTTTATATATATATATATATATATATGTATATATATATATATATATATATGTATATATATATATAAACATATATATATATATATATATATATACATATATATACATATATATGTATATATACATATATATATATATATATATATATATATATATATATATATATATATATATATATATATATATATATATAAACATATATGTATATATATATATATAAACATATATATATATATATATATATATATAATATATATATATATATATGTATATAAACATATATATATATATATAAACATATATATATATATATATAAACATATATATATATATATATATATATATATATATATATATATATATATATATATATATATATATATATATATATATATATATATATATATGTATATATATATATATATATATATACATATATATACATATATATATATATATATATATATATATATATATATAATATATATATTTACAGGGCTGGATTTACTGTTGTCGCAGCTGAGGTCAAAGTTTAGTATGGGGACCTTTGATTTGTTCTTTTAGGATAACTAAATATACATTATTCAACCGAGAGATTTAATTAATGTCGTAAGTTTATTAACAATAAAAGCAAATAAATAAATGATACATAAATTAGTGCGCATTTAAGAATATTGTTTTTATAGGATAAGTGTCAGTTTGTCAGATTTGAGTAGTGCTGATAAGTTTGTTAATAGGAAACTATCTATCCGCCGAGTAGTTTATTATCATCTGCACATAGTCAGTAGAAGCGCAATCTCAACATTAGAAAATTCTTCCTTCACTTTCTTGTGTATAAGTGAACACATGAAGTTTTTCTGTGCTCAAGTTTATTCGTTTTTCATCAACAAATACCAAACTAATAATATTGAAAGTCTTTAACTTGTAATAGCTCATTTCCAAATATATTTTGAGGACTAATCCAAGTTTCGTAAGTTGTAGTTTACAAGCTTGTCTCCGGGTGACTTTACATTCCCAGAATCGAGTTTAATCAACTTACAGAAAAAGCATCTTGCCGACGCATTGCAATCATTCACTAAAATAAAGCTCTCAACACAAAATTTTTTTGGGAAGATGACATTTGAGTAGAACTTTGCATATCTACAGTCAAAGCTGTACTTTTGAATTCTCGAAGGATTTATTTAATATTTATGTGTGCCAGCTCTCTCGGTTCTCCGTCTGCTAATTGATTTTCAAAACGTTCAAGCAATACAAAACATAAATACAAAAATATAAAACTGACTGCAGTTACTAAATATCAATATTAGACAAAAATTAAAAAAGAAAGCTTTGTGAAACTTTTTAGCTTTGTCGTAAAAACTAATTAACTAATGACTTGCATGTTACATATTATGTTATAAAAAAATTATTTTTGCAGACTTTAATTTTTTTTTTCCTATTTAAATTTATCCTTGTACTTATTTGTGAATCTTTTTCTTATTTTTAATACTTTGCTTTTTCTGTTCAAAAAAAAACATTTGCTATTTGTGAAGTAAACGTATATTAATAAATTAAAGCAAATCGAAATTTCTAATAAGTTTTTTACTTTTATATATATACCAATTAATTTTTATACAACTTATGTTTTTGTTTTTTTTCAAAAATATGGATTATTTTTTAATAAATAAGTTAGTGGATTTTTGATATTAGTGAACAAAAATTTAAATCATCTTTTCGGCCTTTTTACATGGGCCCCAAGATCTAGCTCAAAAATCTGTAATAGTAAATCCGGTACTGTATACATATATACATATATATATATATATATATATATATATATATATATATATATATATATATATATATATATATATATATATATATATATATATATATATATATATATATATATATATATATATATATATATATATATATATATATATATATATATATATATATATATATATATATATATAGTAAACTAACTTTATATTAAAACTACACATCTCATTAAGAAGTTACCTTTTAAAATATAAAAGTTATCATATTATTTTTACAAAAATAAAAAGATTTAAAAAATCAAAATAAATTTTTTTACGGTTTCTGACGTGTTAGCAGTTATTATACAAAATAATCTAAACTAATAATTATTTTTTGAACTAATACAATTTAGCTTTTTTGAAGACCCGGGTTGAAATAGCTTTGATAATTTCTTGAAGACCCAGGTTGAAATATCTTTGATAATTTTTTGAAGACCCGGGTTAAAATATCTTTGATAATTTTTTGAAGACCCGGGTTGAAATATCTTTGATAATTTTATTGTGATGGTATTAGAAACCCATTAAATTTTCACGGCTAATCTCTTAATTAAAAAATAAATGTTTTTAATTTTTACAATATAAGTAATATTTACAATATATTACAAAAATTAATAAAGCTCAAAACCTACTATGAGCCCTCTTCTATTTTGTAATTTATATTAATAACCTTCTCAAAGTTTTTGCGATAGTTAACTATTAATAATACAATTGTTACAGTAGATAAATTCCAGCAACACATTTGTTAAAATTAACTTTTTAATTGAATTTCTTAGTGTAATAATTATTTATACAATATTAATAAAAAAACATCATAGGTATGACTTTCGAAGCTAGGAAAAACAGAGGCCTAATTTTAAAAGATCACTGTTTTGTGATATATTTTATCATATAGAACTTTTTTGTCACACAAAATAAAATCTATATTTTTCGTTTACTCAACTAATTTAACTTACTTTTACCGCCATCGTGAGCACTAAATCATTTTTAGAACGATATAATTTTTTGATGCATACCCAGTGGTCATTTCGACGTCGAACGAACGTCGAGCGACGTCGGATCTCGACGTCGGATCGACGTTGGGTTTACGTTGGAAATGGAAATGTTATTTGACGTCGGATAAACTGACATCGCGCGACGTCGGCATTCCGATGTAAATCCAACGTGTTTTTTAAAAACTAAAAAACGCTGCCTAAGGCAGGAATCGAACCTCGGTCTATTAGTTACTAAATTCTATGCGCTTACCACTACAAGGACATATTAATTTGATGAGTTTATTTAGTAATTTATACTTGTAGCTATTTGGGAATTATTACTTTGATAAGAAATAATTTTGTTTAAATATTATATAAATATTAAAACGAATAGTTATATATTATAAAAAATGTATACTCGAAAATGTTAATAGTTAAAAAACTATGCTAGTGCATCATACAAAACCTTATGATGTTTTATCAACCTTTATTCAAACTTTTTTCCATTAATAAAAAAACACGCTTAGTTCACATAATTATTGAAGAGCGCAATTGCACACATATTGTTGGGTTTGGATTAAATTTTCATCAGCGATGTCTTACGACGTTGTTCCGACGTCGTTTTAAGGACGTTGGATTGACGTCGGAAGACGTCAAAAGACATCGGAGTACGTTAATATTATGACGTTGCCCGACGTCTTTTTATCGACGTTGGATCGATGTCAGTACTGCGACGTTTTTTGGACGTCTTTTATAAGATGTCGGAACAACGTCAAAATACATCGAAACGACGTCAGGGGATGTTGAGATAAAGACATCGCCCGACGTCATTTTACTGACATCGGAACAACGTCGGAATAGGTCTTTTGACATCGCTGATGAAAATCAAACGTAAATCCGACGTCGGATTGACGTCGGGTGCCCACTGGGTATCGATTAATTAAATTGAATAATAAAAAAACAAAATCAACGTTATTTAAATTAAGTTGTTTATGTTAAACTTAGAAGGGATAATAACTCAGGCTAATTTAAATATAACTTTTTAAAAGCTAATAAAAATAAATTTAATTCAAGAGCAACTGAAAACATTATATTATCCTTGAAAAAACCAAAAACTACCTCTAATACCACAGTGTTTCTAAAGTGTAAAACAAATAAATTCATAAAAATACCTCATAAATTCACGTGAAACTAAAACTTGTTCAAATTCTAAAGTTAAATTTTTTTATAGAATTAGAAACTAAGATAAAAATTGAATATTTTTATTACGGTTAAAAAGTTAAAGAAAAAAGGGATAAAAAACCATTTTTGTAATATGTCTGCGTGTTTTTATGTTGATATAAATTAGGATTAAGTAGAAATTAATGATTTCTTAGTACCAAAGGATGATTGCAACTGTTCCAAAGAAATATACTCAGAATTATCTTTTGATGAATTCCAAATCGCCTTCAAATCACTAAAAAAAAAAAAAGCTATCGGAGCTGATGGAATAAATGGTGACATAATTATCGAGTGTTTTGATCATCTCAAAAATATTCTTTATAAAGTTTATAAATCATCTGTCAACCAAGGAGTTTTTCCTAATCGTCTAAAAATTGCAAAAGTTATTCCAATTTTGAAAGAAGGAGACTGTTGCAATATCAGTAACTATCGCCCTATATCTATCCTTTCTACCTTTTCAAAAATCTTAGAGCGTATTATGTACAATAGAGTATACAATTATCTTGTCTTCAATAATCTTTTTTATTATAATCAATTTGGTTTCAAAAAAAATAATTCTACCGAACATGCAATCATCCAGTTTGTACGAGAAATCTCAAATTCCTTTCAAAGATCCCAATATACATTAGGTGTTTTTATTGACTTGTCGAAGGCTTTTGATACTGTCGACCATGAAATCCTTCTTGAAAAACTAAAATACTACGGATTAAACTATATAACTATAAAATGGCTTCGTAGTTACTTATCAACCGCAAACAATTTGTTTTTATTAATAACTATAACCAAAGCCATCTACTAAATATTTCCTGTGGTGTTCCCCAAGGCTCTATCTTGGGGCCACTTTTGTTCTTAATCTATATA